TGGTGGAGGAGCCAAGTTAAATTTGGAGCTGAAAGAAGATTCAGGAATTTCTGCCGATGACATAGCCCAGGCTAGGCTTTGTGTCTGCATTTCCCAAGAATTAAGGATTCCTTAGACTTTTCTAGATGTTGGTGATTCTAATTCACCCCTTCCTGCCAGTCAAGTGCAAGACTGGCTTCACAAATAGCCAGTCTTGCACCTGAATCCCAGCTCTATGATTCACAAGCTGTGTGACACTGGGTACATTGTTTAACCTCTCTGAGCCCCAAGTACATCATTTATGTTATGGAGACAATATTAATCTCTCTACCACAGTTTGTTATAAGAATTAGTTTGCAGAGTACAAAACACATAGTAAGCCCTCAATAAACGGTAGCCATTGTGGTGTTTGAATGACAGTCCACCCAGGGACAGGTCGACGCTGTTTCAGGGTGTGAGTTATCCCTCCATCCCCTCCTTTGCAATTTCAACAGTTCTGCAGCTCTGCACCACCACCATCACCACACCCACCACTCCAGGCCCCCTGTCTGAGGGCTACCTGGTTCCATCCATCCTTCGCTCCCCTTCTCATTTTCTTATCCAAGGTTAAGTTTAAGACCTGAGGCTTTCGCTGAAATCAATTTGCAGTCCCCCAGCCCCTTGGAAAGAACAAGTTCTTCTGAAGGATCGAGGCTTTTAGCTCCCTCACCATCCCAATAGACTTCATCAAGACACTGGCGTTTCAGCTGGGCACGGTGGCACATAACTATAATCCCAGCTATTCGAGGGGCAGAGGCGGGAGTATCATGAGTTTCAGGCAGCTAGTGAGACTCTAAAACAAAATACAAACAAAAGGGCTGGGGAGCACCTGCCTGGCATGCAGGAGAGGCCCTGGGTTCAGTCTCCAGTGCAGAGAAGGAAAAAAGACACCAGCATTTCAAGTGGCTCTCCCGGCCCCTTTGGGCTATGACTTTTGGAACAATTCTTGGGTAAGGGTCTTTACTTATCCTCCTCTTAAACTTACCCAGTTTATAATGAGCAGGACCCCTATCATCCCACACCTACACTAGTGCTTTTAAAAGTCCTGTCCCTCCAGGTGTGAACAAGAATCCCTGGAAAAATAAAATGCCACGGTGGACAGATGGGGGGACTTGCAGGCTGTGGGTGCCCTCATCCCACATTCAAGTCTCTTCTGCAGGAAAAAAAGCAGCTAAAGTCAGCATTCCCTGCCCTAAACAGCCACTAACATTTACTGAGCACTGACTACATTTGAGGCACTGGTCTGAGCCCTTTTATACCCATGGCACCATTCACACCAGGTGGTTGCCGTTATTCCCATTTTACAGATGAGGAAACTGAGGCTCAGGCTAGCATGGCTGCTGTGGTGGGAATCACCAGATGATGGTTGTAGAACACAGCAAGGCTTTCATCCTGAAATAATAACACAGAAAAGGAACGCGTGTTTGTAAATGCCTGCTGTGTGCCAACAGCTCTTTGGACAAGTCGGCTTGGATGCATTTGAAATTTTCTTTTTTTTTTTTTGAGTTAGGGTCTTGCTATTTACCCCAGGCTGGCCTCAAACTCGTGATCCTCCTTCCTCTGCCTCCCCCAGTGTTGGGATTTTTTTTTTAATGTTTATTCCATCCTTTTGATCAAAAGGTAATCGTCATTCCATTGATTAAACAGTGTGCTGAGTGCTCGCGGATCCTCTTAGCCCCGTCGGGGTCAACACCTGTTGTTAAGTAGGCCTGGTCTCTGTGGCTGGTCCTGGAGCTGAGGGTTGGAGCCCAGCCTTCTGCATGGGGTGCTAGGAGCCACCCCGCAAAGGGCACAGGCCTGGAGCCTTGAGCAAATAACTGCTCCTCCACAACATTTGAGAGACGGAGGCTCAGAGAGGTGAGTGACTTGCTCTGAGTCACACAGTAGGTAACACAGCAGGCAGAGCTGGGATTTATACTCTGGTTTGAAAACCAAGACCTCAGTCTTTCTTTTCCCACAGGATCTTGCAATGTAGCCCAGGCTGGCCTTGAACTCGCCATCCTGCCTCAGCATTCTGAGTGCTGGGATTACAAAACACATTACTGAATATGGAAGCCACTGTCCACGAGTTGCCATTGAGCCCCGGAAATGTGGTAGTCGGAATTCAGATGTAAGTATAAGTACATAGCAGATTGCAAGGATGTACAAGAAAAAACCCCATTGATCATATTTTATATTGATTCCATGTGGACTGACAGTTTTCACCTGAGTTGAGTTAAAGTCAATTGCCACAATTTAATCCACCTGTTTCCTTTTCCCTTTCTAAGGAAAATTCACAGTGATGGCGGCCATGATGGGCCCACTAGCTAGCAGGAGATCTCGGAGTAGAACCGAGGGACAAATTGACACGAGTCCAGGCAGGTGACACGTGGCCCTCAGCCTGGTCTCTTTAGACAGCCCCAGAGCTGAGGGTTGGAGCCCGGCCTTCTACATGGGGCACTGGGAGCTGCACCCCAAGGGGCACAGACCTGAGACCCTACGCAAGTGACTGGTCCTCTCTGTTTCTTCCTCTGTCGCACGAAAATAACAATTATCCCTGTCTCCTGGAGGTATTTTCAAGACTAAATTAAGTTCATTAATGAACGCAAAATGCCCGTTCCATGCTTGGTGTTTAATGTGACAGTAATTTGCAATCGGGGACATTTCGCAACGTCTGGGGACATTGTAGGAATGTCAGAACCAGAGGGGTGGAGTTGCTACTGGTATCTAATGGGTAGGGACACAGGATACTGGTCCTGTAGCACAGTCCTTGACCAAGAATTATCCAGCAGTGTAGACAATGAGGGACCCGGATCTCCAGCAATGGTGATGACTGTCACTCATTATTAACACTGGTGACAATGACCTAGTTAAAAGTACAATCATGACACAGCAGACTTCAGGAAGACAGGAGTTCCTATTAGTCTCCATCACTGCTGAGTCCCCAAAGCCTAAAACAGTGTCTGGTGTGCCCAGGAAGTGCTGAATGAAATAAAAAATGGCAGGTGACTTGTTATCAGTCTCAAATACTTGGAAGTCATTGTTCCAATCTGAGCATTTATTATACAAAGGTACTTGCTGGGTACCCACCATGTGCCAGACGCTGGGGGTGCGAGGGGTGGATGAGACCCATAATGGAGCTTGGGATTGGGGTCTGGATCAGTGGACAGGCAAGTCTGGCTCGCGAGGTAAGGACTGGGGTGGGGATGAGTAGGAGTTCAGGGGAGGCCCCTGCAAGGGTAATGTCTAAAATTAGTCCCAAAACCCAGTTTCTGGAGTTCCCTTCAGAGTGCATTCGGTTGCATTCTCAGTTGGATGGGGAAATTCATCCCCTCACAAGGCAGCCCACTCCGTGATTCTTACTAGAATACTCTAGGGCACCTGTCAGAGCCAGCACACAGTCACCTGAGCTCAGAGCCCTTCCCTGCCATCCTAAAGCCCCAGTCTGTACCCTAGGCACCTGCTCCAGTCCTGGCATAGGAGGCCTCATGGCTCACAGCCCAGCCAGCTGCCCGCTCCCTTCTGGTCTCGTCCTGACAAGTCAGGCCAGCTGAGTCACGGCTCAGCTTCCCCAACCCCACGTGGGGTCTGGGCCTGTGAGAGACCTGCCAGGGTGCCCGCAAAGTGGACCAAAAAGAGCCTGTGACCCACAGTGTGGACTAGACCTAAGAGCGTCTGGAATCGCACACTCCACGTTGGAGCCCCCCGGGGAACAGACCACAGGGATAGATATATGATTTTACCAGCAATGATGCCAAACCTTAACCCAGTGCCAACGCATAGTAGGTCCTCAGCAAACTCTTTCGCTGAATAAGGCTTTGAACAACAGCTGCTTGTGTCACACACATAACACAAAGAATTACATATTTATTTGCATGCTTTTTTATTTCTCTGTCTGCCCCAGAAGGTCCACCCTGACACCTCCTGCACAGTGACTTGTCCACAGTAGGCACTTAATAAACGCTGCTGCCCAGAGGCAGTGCCCAGCATAGCTCATTGATATCCATGCTCTCTGTTCCAGAGATGAGAAGTAGGGGCCCAGAGGGACGTGACTTCAGAAGGTCACGCAGTCGCTGGGCTGAGCCAGGATTTGAGGCTGGGGTCCATGTGTGGTCTTAACCTACTGAGTCCTGCTCTCCAGCAGTGAGGAGAAAGAGCAGGACTCAGAGCTGGGGGCCTCTGGGAAGGGCACTGTGACAGAGTGAGGGCCACTTCAGCATTCTCTGATCCTGCCCTGCCAATCTCAGTCACAAAGCCTTTTCCCACTGGTTGTTCACAGCAGCTGCAGCAAAGCCCAGAGAGGTCAGAGAAGCTGCAATCTTGGCAGTGGTCTCCAGGCCCAACATGCCTAGTGGCGAATCCTAATTCCCTATTTGGCTGTGTGACTTTGAGAACTGGCTTGCCCTCTCTGAGCCTTCCTTATCTAAACATTAGGGAGGATCCTATTTACTTTGTAGGCAGTAGTGAAAATTCCTGAGTGGTGTTAGACTGCACTGTGTGTCTGTGTCCTGGCTCTCTTGTTGTGTGACCTTGGGAAAGAAGCTTAGTGTCTCTGAGCCTCAGTTTCTTTATCTGCAAAGCAGTGTAACTAAATATCTCACAGGGTGTGTGAGATATTTTTTAGGGACCAGCATGGGCACCAGGATCATACTAAGTGTTCAATAAAAGATAGCTATGTAATTATTTGCCTCCACAGTGAGTGACTCTGCTCAAGATCCAGCAGGGAGGACCTGGACAGGGCAGACCTGGTGTGCTCACTCCAGACTGTCCCAGCCAACTAGAGGGGAAACCTGACCCACCTCCTCCTGTCACTGCGGTTGCAGCAGCCTAGGAAATGAAAGAAAGGTCAGAGCCTGGGAAACGGGGCCAGGCGCGATGGAGGGGACAGGCTGCAGAGGGGGGCAGGGCTGGCAGGGGGGCTGGCTGACCGCCCTTGCCTCTCCTGGGGAGAGGCCTGAACCTGCCAGGCCTGCATGCAACCCCCCTGCCCAGGGCTTGGCCTCCAGGCCGGGCAGAGCCGCCTCCCAGCCTGCCCCTGGGGAGGGGCCACCTGGTGTCAATTAAGTCCCAGTCACTGCCATGCCAGGCGGCTGATTAGTACCGCTGGCCTCTCCAGATGGGGAGCACCGGCTGAGAGGGGCAACGCCACCATGCCAGGGTGAGGCCTCGCTGGAGTGGGTGAGTACAGGGTGGGGGCTCTGCTCACCCGGCACAGACCCAAGGGTGCCCGGCCTGGGCATTGAGGGGAGGGGGCTCCTTGCGTACTTGGTTCTCCTGGGGGCATTTCGGGGCCTCCCAACAGTCCAGACCCTCTGCACCTCGGCCTTACCCGAAAGGGACCTCAGAGGACACATGTCAGACAGTGTCCTTCTCCTGGGTCATGCAGCCACAGGGTCCACCCCCACACAGTGTCAGAAAGTGTTGTGATGGGTGAATGAGGGACCCATCAGTGCAGACTGAGGCTTTGGGGACATGGCTCTCTCCTTGTCACCCCCAGTGGAGCTGTTCTCTGTGTGGGCATTTAAGGCCATGTCCCCCCAACCCCATGGACCCCCTGGGCTGGCAGAGGAGCCCTGCAGGGAACAAACATGGGGAGTCTGTTGTGCTGAAGCTGCCACTCCGAGGGAGACCACGGCTCCAGATGCCACATGCCTGGGGCACAGTGAGGCCAAGGCAGGCCCTGGCACAGGACCCACACACGCTGTTGGGGCTGCCCGTTCTGTTGCTGACTGGCGACTCTGCAGGTCCCAGCCACCTCCTGGCTCCCAGAGGTGGGGGGAGAGTCCACACCAGGAGGGACAAAGGAGGGGGTGGCTGCCTGCCCCAAGACGGACTGGGGAAAGGAGGCGGGTGTCACAGAGAGGGAGAGTCCTCTGTCCCTCCAGGCAGTGAGGTGACTCTCAATTGGTCCCTGCATTTGCTATGGCTCTGAGTGGGGAACCCGAGCTCTCCTTATCCACGCCGGTGACCTGTGTGGTACCACCTGGTGGTCTGTGGCCACCACCTGCTCAGGGTGGAGGTGAGGTGTGCTTGGCACAGGAGGGGTGTGCTGGACGTGTGTCCACACACTCATGCTGCATGGTATTTGCATCTCTGTCACCCATCTGGAAGTTGGCTATGCATTGGAGGTCACAGGCCCTGTGTCCAGCAGGCTACCACCAGGTGTCACACTTTGTGGTTACCCTGGGTACCAGGGTCATAGAAGCGTGACTCTGGTCATTGCATACTGCTACTTCTAGCTCAGTCCCCCTGGGGACCAAGTATGTCCCAGTACCCTGTGAGCTCCCCTGTCAATCAACAAGCCAGTCTCCCAGTTCGCACCTCGGGGAGTGAACAGCTCTGTCTCCCAGGCTCCTTGTCTTCCCCCACCCACCTCAGCTGAGCCAAGCTGGACTTCAGGCCTCTGTCCCTGGTCCCTGGAACCCGAGTCTTTGAGTCTTAGGCGAGAGGGATGGCAAGGCCAACCACAAAGGAAGCCCAGCTGCAATCTGGGAGTTCATTTCCTCCATAAAAAGAGGACGTGGGCCCAACACTGAGGATCATCCACTCATCACAAAACGCTTATGAAGAAACATCTCTGCTCCGTGCTGAAATTAGGAGCTAAGTCTCGGATCCATTCATTCCGATATCCTGTCAGTCACTCCATATTTACTGAGCACCTTCTTACTCTCACGGTCGCCCCAACGAACGTGAATTTGAGAAGCCATCCCCACTTGCCTTCTCCCACTGTCTACCGACGGGGAGCTGGATCTGGAGGAAGCCATGCGCTGAAGGAGAGGCACTTCAGGGTCTTTTGTAGCAAGGCACGAGGGCTCCTCTAAGATGACACCATTCAGAATGTCCCCAGGGTCCCTTTGAAATGAGTGGCATTTGCCAGAGCCCAGAGATCATGACTATAGTCTGTCCTCTTAGGTCCCTGGGAAATTCCACACCAGGACAGGAGGAAGTTCACAGATACCCGTGTCTGGATTTCCTTTTGCAGAGGAAAGTGTGAGAGGTTTCAGGCTGGTTACAAAGCATGGCCAAACGACTTGCTTGGGTAATTCATCAATTCTAGAAGGTACCATTTAGCCAAGAGCCAGGCTCTGTGCTGAGCGCCAGAGAGTTTTATCTCACTGGATTCTTTTGCCATCTTTCCCACCTGAGCCTACAGAAATGGGGACCAGAAGGCTGACCCTTCATCGCCTTTGAGACTCTAAGTCCTCAGACTGTTCCAGTCTCCATGGGACATAGGCAAATTTTCCTTTTTGCATTATTTTTGTATTTTTGAGACAAGATTTTACTGTGTAGCCCAGGCTGAACTTGAACGTGCCAATCACCGTCTCAGCCCCCTGAATGCTAGGGTGACAGGCGTGTGCCACCGTGTGCTGAAGCAGTTTTCCACATGCAGAATGTGCATTGGGTGTCATGACGGGGGTGTGACACTCCGCGACACAGGAGTGGGCGGGGCTGATGGAAAACACAAGACAGCAGAGGACTTCTCAGTGTGTGTGCCACGGAGAGCTTTTGTTCAAACAGGGTTCTATGGAAATTGATCAAAACCGAACCATCTTATACGTGAAGCAAGGATGGGGGGGACCGGGCTTGTCCCTCAGCTTGGGAACCCCTGACGTGTCCAGGAAGCTGGACATCTGGTTGCTTTGGGGGAACATGGCAGGTGAGGATACCCGGCCCGCAATGACAGTGGTGGCCTTGATTGGAGGGGACTTGGATAGGAACTAAGAAAGGCAGGGGTTCATTCGTGCATTCATTCAACAAACATCCTCTAAGCTCCCACTGCGTGCTGGCATTCGTCTATATGCTAGGGATGGGGGGTAGTGAATACAGAACATGAAGCTCCTCCCCTTGGCAGAGGAGGCCCCCATGGGATTGGAGCAGAGCTTTCCTTAGGGGGCGGAGTCATGGCTCTTTCATCCAATGAATGGCTAGGACGCTCCTTGGGGTGGGGGAGATTCCGCCTGGGCACTGGGGTGGTGATGATAGACGGGTGATGCAGTTTGGTCTGAGTCTTGGCAGCCTAGCCAGTCAGGGGATCTGTGCATGCCGGCTCTGGAGGGAGACCTGTTGCGAAGACATGGGACAAGCCTCAGCCTTGGTCACAGGACTCTGAAGTGAGTCATCCCATCTGGCCAGTATGCCATGTCAGTCAGTCACCGGCTTAGGCTGTCCCCATGGTGGGGGAGGGGGAAAGTGTGCTAATTTCTTAGGCAGGCCAGCTTCCTTTACTACAAAAGAACAAGGGCACACTGGCCTGGCAGGGGACACCTGGGTGAGGCACTTGTGTCACCGACCAGGTAACTCTGAGTGGTTCCTGGCCCAGTGGTAAAGACTGGCAGAGGACAGATGAAAACAATATGGAAGGTGTGTTGTTTCCCAATGAGGAAAACAGTGAAGGCAAAGGGACCCCAGAAGAGACACCAGACCCAGACCCTGGGAAGTCCAGGAAAAGTACAAGGAGGACATCGAGACCTGGGTTCAAATCCCAGCACTGCACTTGCTGGCTGTGGACCTTGAGCCAATCGCTTCACTCTCGTGGTCTCTGTGTCCCTGGCTGTAGGGTGTGGAAGCTGCTCGGCTTCTCTTCTAGAATGATGAGCAGGACTGGTGTATATGGCACACTGCCCAGGTCCTGGACATGGCAGAGGGCAGTGGGGTGCACAGAGTTGGGTCCAACCATGGAGGGCCTGTGTTTCCCAGGAATACCCAGGTCCAGTGCCTGTGACAAGCCCACTGCTCCAGACCCCAGGCCCTCCTCCATCTGTTCACCAAATGTTCCCTGAGCTGATTGTGCCCTGGTCTGAGGAGGTCAGGGCAATAGCAGAGCAAGGTCCCCACTCCTGCCAGCCTCAAAGTGCATGGTGGGCCACAGCCAGGGTCAGGAAGGTGAAGTGGCTGAGGTGTCGGTGAAGTCACTAAGGTGTCCATGAGGTCCCTGAGGTGTCGGTGAGGTCATTGAGGTATCAGTGTGGTCACTGACGTCCAGATGAGGTCACTGTGGTCCAGATGAGGTCTCTGTGGCCCAGAAAAGCAGTGTGTCTAGACATCAGTAGGGCGGAAACCTGGTAGCAGAGCTGTGAGGATGTGGGCAGAGCAGAGCCTTGACCTCCTGCCAGGGTTCAGCTGGGAAGGGAGGAGGGAGGGGATCCCTAGGGGAGCCGTCCAAGTGGAAGGAGGCCATGTGTGTGGTGAATGTGGTAAGGGTGTGGATGGGAGTGTGATTGACTGATTTAGAGACAGTGTCTTGCTGTATAGCCCAGGCTGGTCTTAAGCTTATGCTCCTTCTGCCTCAGTCTCCCAGGTGCTGGGATTACAGGCGTGAACTACCACACCTGGCTCAGGGTGTGTTTAATGGCATACCTAGGGAAGTGGGTAGGTATGTATGGATGAACCTGCTGTGTGTGAGAACATGGGTGTGTAAGGATGCGAGGGGAGGTCGTGCGACTGTGTGAGAGTCTGCGTCTTTTCTTGTGAGTATCTGTGTGTTGATTTTCACTAAATTCTGGTTTAAGACTTGAAGTCCATTCAGTTTGGCCGTCCCCACTCAATCCACCTATGTCAGCTTAACAACCCACCTCCCATGTGCACAGCACCCGACAGCTTGGAGGTTCCCTTTCATTACTCCCCAGAAATTCCCACTTGCTTCCCATTGACAGATATGGAAACTGAGGCCCGCAGACTCACAGAGGTCCACTGCAGAGCCCATGAGTCACAGGAATTGGTCTTTGGCCAGACACTAGTGCTGACCCCTCCCTTTTATATTTCCTCTAACTCAAGTGCTTACGCACGAAATGAGAAACCAGTTCAAAGCCCTCTTGGTCCCCGTATTATTTATTTTCTCTCCTGGATTCTGTTCCTTCCCCATGTTCTTTTTTATCCCATTCTTCCCCAGAGTTCCACTTCCCTTCCACTTCATTAGGAGTAAATGAGGCTGTAACTTTAACACATCCCCACACCCTTCTGTCAAATGCATTTTAAAAATCACTTTTCAATTAAGAGGAAAATCCTTACCTAGATATTTAAATCAAAGTGGAGCTCATTGTTGAAGAAAATAGTCAGGAAGGAAAAAGCAGTGTTGCAAAGCACACTGTGATTTCCTCAGGACGATAGTCGTTGATGTGCACATAACCAGATCTCAAATAAAGAGCTGTTTTCAGAGTCAACCCTCAAAGCAGAGATGG